AACTCAAAATTTTGTCTTACTGCTAAAAATACCGATTTTAGAAATTGTAACTAACTAGGCGGAGACGCATAGTAAACTATGAACTCACGTCTACACACTTCTAAATTTGTAAATGGCACGAATATGTTTTGAAATGATTATTTTAGTATCCTACATTGGATGCCAGGTTTAAGTGTATTTGCAGAAAAAAAATGGTTTACAGTTATTTACAATTTTTTCGAAAAATTATAAAATTTGATTTTGCAAAATTTTTATTTAATTTATGATAGGCCCTATAACTAAAAAAGATGTAATTAATACCACAGTGTAAAATGAAACATTAGATAAGGTAAATGGTGATAAAATTCAAAGCGGAATCATAAACCACGAGTACAGACGTATATTATTTTATAAAATTTAGATACCCTTTACTGCGCAAAATGATCAAATTGTTGGCGGTTGATCGGACAAGTTTTGGATAGCATTTACACGATATTCTTAAATCACATATAAAACTACCACTTTTTCGTACTCTTGGAGTCATAAAAAATCGAGAAAATCTGAAAGTAGCTATTCGTTGGATATACCCTATTAAAATATTTCCTTGGATTACGTTCGGGAAGTAAATGTGTGAAATTGTGATTCCTTAGAATTTTGTTAAAACACTAAAACTTTTATTAAAACAGGAGTTCGTAGAAATGTTGTGATTTTTTACTGTTATCACATAAATAAACTGAAATTTGATAGGTGGAATTAGGACAGGAGGACATTAAAATGGTGCGTTTAAAGTAACCATCTATTTGAAAATTTGGAGATGATTTAGTATCCTCTTAGATCATGAGGTGCCCCGACATCTAATTTTTACTTTCCAAACCTAAGCTAAGGAATTATTGTATTGTTCATCAAGCGACCGACTACTTTCATGTTTTCTCGATTGGCCTATAGATTTTTGGCGTCTCGGTGATGCATGAGTTGAAGTTACGGACTTCGGAGTTGTAACAGCTTTTCTTGTTTTCTTACTCAGTTGATGTTATTATCTATTTCTTTATGTGTGGAGGTTTTCACAAATAAAAAGTTGCAAAATCATATTTTATAATTTTTCAAAAAAGTGGGATTAGTTGGACTATTTATTTCAGGAGCGAGGGAAGTTCTGTCCAAATAATCTTCGACCAATTTTTTTAAATTACCATTCCATGTTTTAGCCGTAGTCTACTTTTACTGTTTTCATTATCCCGTTGTTCAGTGGTTTTTAGAGGACACTGTATACATGATTATATTCACCAGAAGCTTGGCGCCAAAAAAATGCAAGACACAACCATTTATATTTCATATCATTTTAAATAAAAGTAAAACATATTTATCTGTTTTATTGTAACAACATTGACGCAGTGTCAGATAGTACCACGTTAAAATTGACATTTCGGTAGAATTGTTTTTGCTTTAAATTATCAAAACATAAGAGCTAACTGTGTTTTACTTATATGTTCCATATGAAACACAATCGGAATTGGACAAAAAGTAAAAACGTCAAAGGAGTAAAATTATTTTTAAACAGTTTTTGGCACTGTCAAAGGTATGATGAGATTGATATATTTTATCTGGTACCTCTTTTTATTTTAATATTTACACATGGAGTAAAAAATTTAAACTATGTAATTCATTGTGTTAGGAAAAAAAAATCGACGAGGACGTGATGAGACCTCACGCGAGTAGAGCTCAAGATCAACGCTGAGGCGTGGAAAACCTTTCAAATATCGGTTACGTGACACTAGCGGCAAATATTGCACAAGAATTTTTGTAGTCATTGTGAATAAAATTAAGAAGGCTGATTCATAAACCACAAGTACAGGAGTATGTTATTTGACGTCATCACATTGTTGTTGGGGAAATTAAACAAAGTTTGGTTACCGTTTTACTGTCTACACAATATTCCTAATGTACATATAACATTTCAGAAAAATCTATTCAGACAGACAGCAAACAGACGGACAGACGGAAACGAAGATCTGTTTTTCGGACTCTAGGGATCACGAATCGTCGAGAAAACATGAACTCCATTCCTCGAGTGGATCCTATCACAATACTTCTTGCCTTTTTTACTCGGGAAGCAAAAACTGAACAAAGCTTTATAAATTTTAAGACAAATGTTAAAAAAATGCAATTTTACCTTGTCTTTTAAGCAAGTTGTGTTAGAAGAAATTTACAGTTTTACAAACTTGGGAAATCATTATGATCATATATTTTTGCTGTATAATTAGAACGATTGACTACCTATCATTAAACCAGATGAAGTTTGGTGTTTTGGTGACATTAGATAAGTAATAATATGTAAAAAATGCACGATTACTATTATTAAACACTATGAATTAGAGATTTTTTTTTAATTTGAATAAATTAAAATTTTTGTCGTTTAGGCCCCAGTACTGGTACTCAATATACAAGTGAAGTACATGATTGTAGTAATTTTGAGAGTGAGGTTTAAATTTATTGGATTTCGGTTTATAGTTGTTTGAACGTGAACTTGGTGATAATAGTACCTATCTTATTATTTACTTTTATTGAAATAGCGGTAGGTACTTTTTCTATAGAATGTGCAGTGCAGACTTGCAGTCTCGTCATATTTATCTGTATTTCTATTTGTGATGATCTGATGATTCATTATGATAAAAACATAATGTGACACTTGAAATCCATCACTGAAGTGACAAAACAAACTCATAACAACAAAGTATCCACCACGATGATACCCACTCGGGCCCCCTTTGTGCCATTATAAAAAACAACTAGCTAAATTAGTCAATAACGAAAATATTTTTATCACGCGTTTATGTAAGCGAATTACAATGATAGCCATCAAAGTTCCAATAAACCTTGAAAAAAAACTAACTTCACGGTCGTAATTATTCAGGTGTGGAGGAATACGAGAACTATTTTAGTTGTATAGTTCAATGACTGTTCCTGCTTTTTACCGGCCAACTGGTCATGCTATAACTATCTCGCAATAGCTACAGCTATACAGCAATAATGGCCAGTTACAATGAGAAGTTCGTTGTTTTACTGCAGTAAAGTATGGTAAGTAGTTGCTCATGCGTGTATTTCGTTTTTACAAGGAAAATTATAATTAGTAATTAGTGGGATTTAGTTAATTAGGTAATTATTCGGTCATTTACATAATTTAGTTATACTGACACGGTTAAGTGGAATTTCTTCGAAACAGAAAAAACTACAGTTTTCTTTCCAGTTTTGTAATTGCTTCGACTAATTTTATTTTTACGTAGTTAATTAAGTATTGCTTGAAATTCTCAAGGTAGATAAAAAGTGGATATTTCTTTGTAAGCTTATTCAACAAAAATCGTTATTGTGGCAACCGTTAATTCAATGAATTGAGGTAATAAAGGGGCAATTCTGAATGAAACCTGTTAAAATTTAAAGGTTGTTAAAAATCAAGCTTTTTGTCGGATGTGTATATTAATTGGTATTCCGGATCCCGATAAATTAACACCATGTTAAAATTGACATATTTTTATCGGATCCGTTTAAATTTTCGGATGACTTCGTTAATTTGGTTTAAAAGAACTACCCAGTGTGTTTCGTGGCCTATTTTAGGTACAAGATGCCTTGACTTTACTATCATAAATTCAAATTTTGTTGGAATTGAGCTTCTTAAACATAGAATCTGGTATAGATAAATTATAATATAAAATTAAGGAGCAGACGGAGACGGACCGAGACCAAGTGGTACGTGTTCAACGGTGATCACAATTTGTGAGGTTAGGAGTGCAATTAGTGAATCAAAACATTCAAAACAAATACAAGTTTATTCTGGATTCTTGGATAATTTATAATTTGGCATCAATTACTATATTTAACTACAGGAAGCCACTTATAAGAATATAAGAAATTAACTCCATGGTAAGTAAGTTTATACTCAAGTAAACTGAAGTAAAATGTATTGGTTTTAGGTTATGAAATTTTATCATCCGATTTGATGTTCATATTGAACAACACATAATAGTTATGTATGTGTTCAGTCATGTGATTGCTTTTCTGAAATTAGCTGAAAATGATACCTTTCCAAAAAAATCCAGTGTCTTGAGGGAGAAGTGTTACTTTTTATTAAAAACGCACCAAATCATAACTTTTTATTACTTGCATAAAGTTGCTTCAGTAATGAGTGCTTTTTGTGGTTTAATGCGGGAGGAACTGGCCAAGCTGCGCATCAACAACATTGAAGACAGATGATTTGTTTCAGTGGCCAAAATAGCAGACTGGTGCTTCGAAAAGCTTCACAATCATAAAAGAGGACAGTATAGGAGCCTCAAATTTAGTTAAGTAATTGAAAATTGTATTTTTTACTTGAGAAATAATAATAGAAATTATTTTTGTTATGTTTTTATGTAGGAATGAAATGTTTGTAAATTGTTAATTAAAATAAATTATTTTCCAAATGTAGTTATGTTGTTATTTAATAACCATAAAAATTAACTTGCAATTTGCGGGCAATTATTATTTGGAGCATTTCGAGGGTGCTAATTGCTACCATTTCCAAGGTGTTATCGTTCAGTAATTGACAGGTGAAAAATAAATTAATCAACGGGCCTCACTTTTTTGCTGATGATTTATTAATAACTACTTACATTCTTTGTAAATTCTCTTCATTATTTACTATAAATAAATGCAAAATACCGTCCAGGTACGCCATCATTGTTTTTTTTTGTTAATTAAAGGGTACTAGCGAGGGATCCTTTAAAACTGTCACTTTTAACGGATTCATTTAAACACCCTTGTTAAAATTTAACATCAATTTGATGTTTTAGAATAGTAAATTTTGATTTTGTCGGATGTTTAATTTTAAAGGGTGTTAAAATTAAACGGACTTCAAAATTAAACAGTACAGAATAGAGATTCATTTTTAACAACCTTTAAAATTTTAACAACCTTTAAATTTTAACAGGTTTCATTCAGAATTGCCCCTTATTAGGGGCAATTCTGAATGAAACCTGTTAAAATTTAAAGGTTGTTAAAAATCAAGATTTTTGTCGGATGTGTATTTTAATTGGTATTCCGGATCCCGATAAATTAACACCATGTTAAAATTGACATATTTTTATCGGATCCGTTTAAATTTTCGGAAGACTTCGTTAATTTGGTTTAAACGAACTACCCAGTGTGTTTCGTGGCCTATTTTAGGTTAAAGATGCCTTGACTTTACTATCATAAATTCAAATTTTGTTGGAATTGAGCTTCTTAAACATAAAATCTGGTATAGATAAATTATAATATAAAATTAAGAAGCAGACGGAGACGGACCGAGACCAAGTGGTACGTGCTCAACGGTGATCACAATTTGTGAGGTTAGGAGTGCAATTAGTGAATCAAAACATTCAAAACAAATCCAAGTTTATTCTGGATTTTTGGATAATTTATAATTTGGCATCAATTACCATATTTAACTACAGGAAGCCACTTATAAGAATATAAGAAATTAACTCCACGGTAAATAAGTTTATACTCAAGTAAACTGAAGTAAAATGTATTGGTTTTAGGTTATGAAATTTTATCATCCGATTTGATGTTCATATTGAACAACACATAATAGTTATATATGTGATTGCTTTTCTGAAATTAGCTGAAAATGATACGTTTCCAAAAAAATCCAGTGTCTTGAGGAAGAAGTGTTACTTTTTATTAAAAACGCACCAAATGATAACTTTTTATTACTTGCATAAAGTTGCTTCAGTAATGAGTGCTTTTTGTGGTTTAATGCGGGAGGAACTGGCCAAGCTGCGCATCAACAACATTGAAGACAGATGATTTGTTTCAGTGGTCGAAATAGCAGACTGGTGCCTCGAAAAGCTTCACAATCATAAAAGAGGACAGTATAGGAGCGTCAAATTTAGTTAAGTAATTGAAAATTGTATTTTTTACTTGGGAAATGATAATAGAAATTATTTTCGTTATATTTTTAAGTAGGTATGAAATGTTTGTAAATTGTTAATTAAAATAATTTTTTTTTCCAAATGTAGTTATGTTGTTATTTAATAACCATAAAAATTAACTTGCAATTTGCGGGCAATTATTATTTGGAGCATTACGAGGGTGCATATTGCTACCATTTCCAAGGTGTTATCGTTCAGTAATTGACAGGTGAAAAATAAATTAATCAACGGGCCTCACTTTTTTGCTGATGATTTATTAATAACTACTTACATTCTTTGTAAATTCTCTTCATAATTTACTATAAATAAATGCAAAATACCGTCCAGGTACGCCATTATTGTTTTTTTTGTTAATTAAAGGGTACTAGCGAGGGATCCTTTAAAACTGTCACTTTTAACGGATTCATTTAAACACCCTTGTTAAAATTTAACATCAATTTGATGTTTTAGAATAGTAAATTTTGATTTTGTCGGATGTTTAATTTTAAAGGGTGTTAAAATTAAACGGACTTCAAAATTAAACAGTACAGAATAGAGATTCATTTTTAACAACCTTTAAAATTTTAACAACCTTTAAATTTTAACAGGTTTCATTCAGAATTGCCCCTATTAGTGCTTAAATTTAACATGGGTCATTGTAGCCATATAATAAATGTACTAGGTAAAGAAGTATGTATTGAGGTTGCACAGTTTATTAAGGAGCGTCTTATTATTTTGTGAGAAATAAATTTCTTTGTGTGGCATAGCTTCTAACAATTTATCCATTGTGATTTAGGTAATAAAGGATATGTAAAAAATTTTGCTTTAAAATTGCCTTCAGAATATCAAAGTCAAGGTTAATTTTTTTAATGTCTCGAAGAAAGTTGACATGAAATAGAGAAAGTTTCGGGAAAATGGAATAAAAATATATGAAATGTTTAAAAATAGATGCACATATTCTAGAAATCTTTCCGATATAGATAATAAATTCTCCAAGCTTTGTTCTTAAAAAAAAGTGATATTTACTTTTTGACTTATCATTATTATCAATCTTATCAGTCAGCAGGTGCAACTTCAACTGGTAATTTGTTCATTCATTAGGACTATAATTATGGTATGTACGTCATACAGGTTAGTTAAAATAATATGGTATAAATAGTGTTTTTGTATAAAAAAAGAAATCATAATAAACTCGACACTCGTTTCATGTCTCTGTGTGAATTATCTATTTAATAACATCGCTAAGAAAAAGAACATACCTACAATAGATAATAAAAGACATGATTAAAATTCCTATTAAAACTGCACTTCAATAGGTATTCTGGTTGTTTGAGACTGATAGAGATGACTGTTCTCAGACGTTATATTTTTGTTAAAAATTATTGCAAATTCGTATTTAGCTCACATTAAAGTCTGACATGTAATAAAACAAATACGTGTATGTGTACCGAATTTTAAAGTTGTTCCAAAATCCTTGACCCTAAATGAAGTTTGTGAATGACAAGACAAATAAAAGATTGAAGGATATAGTAACCGTATCTGGTTTATTAGAAGTTTTTGCCTAATAATTTTGACGTGTCTTTTACTTTATCTAAAAATGGCGCAACTTAGTTTTCGTAAATGCCATTGCTTCCAAAATTTTGCACATTTTGTAACAATTTTCGTTATAAAATTCGTTGAACTAGTTTTTTTTGCCACATGCAAACCAATTAAATAGAAAACATATTGTTGTGTGGAAATCATTAATAAGAGTGACTCAGATTGTGCAAAACGTGAACTATATATGACATTTAAAAATTGGGCTAATCTTGTAATTCGAGGTTTGAAAAAAATGTCTTCAACGTACACATCAGTGGTTAATTTTTCATAGTTTTTCTGCATGTTGTTCACTATTCCATTTAGTTATTTATTTATCTACATAATTAACACTATTTCCAGACAGTGTTTACCAAGAAGAGTGAAAATCACTTTTTAAATTCCACGTAATTAGATACTCATTTTCCCAACATCAAAGCTAATGAAAAATTAAGGTTTACCACAAGCAATAACCGATAGTGTAAACATTAGGTAAACATAAAAAACATAAAACAATAAATACAATAGTTAAACTTACAAAGTAGGCCAGGGCGAAAATTACTTAATTTGATCTCATCGTCCTAAAAAGTAACAAAATAAAAATAACTGTGACGAAATAACGAGGCTTTCATTAAAAAACAACTAAAACAGAATATACACCTAATTTTTGGTTATGAGTTTCGATTAGTTCAGTTGCTTCAGACAATGGTTTGTAAAAAGTGTCCATGATATTTGTAGAATGCGGTAATCATTGTTCTCTTTAAAAATGTTGTTGTTGTTGCTTCATCTTCCCCGTAGCAAGACTAAGAACGTACGAAATTTATTGGGAGCGTGTCTTCATTACACAACAGGAGGTGTGCTTAGTAGATCGCTGTTCCAACCATCAGATGAAATGATTAACGTGTGTTTGCAGAACTCGACAGTAATGTGTCTTTGAGTGTAACACAGAGTATGTCGTAACGGCAGTGCTGTAACATTACCGAATCTCTGTAGGTTGCAGGAGTGAGTCGGTCACGGCAGGAGTGTTGCTAACTTCTTTGCACTGCGGAGTGGCTGGATTATGTAACCTTCGTCCACAATAGGCTGTTATGCCATCCGATTACTGTACATGATTACGTTAAGAAACGCAGGGTGTTATTAAATTACGAGGGTTTTGTAATAGGTCTTGGTTATGTATTTATTTAAATGACAATTGGGCGTCTGTAAGTACACATATAGGGATTGTAGCAACGCAACTTACTTATTGATTGAAGGGCATTGTAAAGTTGCAACTTAGTGATGAAGTGAATTCACCACCATAGTCTACACTTAATTTGTTTGCGTTTAAATGTCAAGTAATGACAATTTTTACTACATTCAACTGTGGCTAAATCCACTTCTGAGTAGAGCTTGTTATACAAATCTCTTGAAAATTTTGATGCAACTGACGCTTCTGTGTTACACACTAAGTTTTGTATGCGACTTTAATAAGTTCGTTTGACGAATTATACAAATTCGAATTTTCTATGATAACCTATAATAAATAAATTAAAAATAAGAGAGGATTATCTACTAAAGCGCAAATACAGGAGTACGTGATTTTAGTTGACAAACTGACGATAGACAGACTGCAGACAAACGACAGACGGAAACAGAAGACCAATATTTTCTTGTTCTACAAGTTGTCGAACGTCGAGGAAACAAGACATTATACAGTTGAGAAAGTGGCTGTTACATTATTTCCCAAGCGTTTTATCGATAGTTCAGAAATAGTTCAACGAATTTATGTTGAACACATTAATGTTATATTGTAAGCAGGGTGAGTCACTAAGCGCAACTTCCCCGATATCTCAATAACCACTGAAAATAAAACAAAGTCGTACGATTCTTTGAGTAGCATACACTAAAATTATTTTCTACTATACAAATTGATCTGTTTTTGAGACAGAACACAACTATTTTTACTTCCAGAGCGTAAACGTAAGTAATCGGGCCCATAAGATTATTCGCTACTTTTGTTTTCTCGACGTTTCATGACCCCTAGAATACGAAAACATAGGTGTAATGGTAACGGCATGGTTAAATCCTTATTAATGACTCTCCCATCACCGGCAGTAGTAATCTGTTGTTAAGGAAGTTATATGAATGTCATGGTAAAACGGTAACCAAATTTTTTTTGATAATCCCCCCCAACAATTTCATGATGTCATCTATCAATTTTGCAAAGTAAATTTTACTTAAATTTTATGAAATAACACTTCTATACCTGTGGTTTATGAATCCATTTTTGTACTGTATGACAACATTTTACAATTTAACCTGGAAACTGCAAAACCGTATGCTTTGAAATTTTCTTATAAACGTTTTTAGATAATCGTAAATGTAGTAAATCGCTAATCAAAATGTAACGACTTGATAACGTCATCTCAAAATTTTGTTGGGTAAATCCTATCTAAAATGTGTGAAATATTATGAGTCTATATATGTAATTTATCATCGCATTAATTTTTTTTTAGAAATGTTTATATACAGGTGGCTCAAAAAAATTATGAATAAAACATGTTATTTGATTGATTAAATAAAAAACAGTTTTCCTCATTTTTCCGAAATTTTCGGACTATATTTAGTTACGAAAAACTCACTTGAAACACACGATTTACCTGTAGTTTAAAATCACCAATATCAAATTTTATAATGTTATCCAAGTAACTGGATTGTATTCCAGGGAAGAGGGAAGTTCAGTAATTGTATTATGTATTAATACATTGCATCACACAAGTATATAAAATAAAAAATCTTAGAACGTCTTGTCATAAAGGTGAATTTTCATGCGTTGGTAACGTTGATCGTTACGTTTAAAAATAATAAAATCCTCCCTTACGAGATATTTGTTTTCGACAAGTGCAAAAGCCTTTCGATAATCTCCTTTTACGACGTCTCTGTTATTTTAAGAAATACGGCAGAGCTGTGCATATGACAAGTGGATACTCAATTTTCTGTGTTTTCACTGTATTCGTAGTTCTACCATATTTCTTAAAATGCTCGTAACAGACAAGTCAGAAATAAGATTCAGGAGATCGAGGCTATCTAGAGAACAAGCGCTGTCTCTTCCAGATAGGAAAAGATTTTATTAGTTTCCATAACGGCCAGTAAATGATGATGTAAAAACTCCATTTAACAAAAATGTTACGTCAAGGGATTAAAACAGGCTTCTGTTCTCATTTTAAATACCATGCTTTTAGATAATGCACTTATGTAACACACATCACCTAAATTGCATTTGTACTTAAACAAGGTGTCATTTCTATGGCAGTTGTGGTAAAAACCCTACCAACTAAAATAATAATTAGTTCGAGCAGATTTACTACTAGAGTAGCAGGTGATTTAGGCTAACATCTTTTACATGGCCTGGCCTTCTGACAACTTTATAATAGCACATCCTTTTAGTACAAGTGAAATTAATTGTTTTTGTTGGTAGGGTAAAGGTAATTTTCACCACAAAGGACGGGTAAAAATGACCTCGGGTTTACATCTAGCAAGATAGAGAAC